CAACATAACAACAACCTGAACACTAAATCGGTTACAAGATGTTTCTCTTTCTATTATCTGTGTCAATTGAACCACAATTAGTTGTCTAACAGAATAAATTAAATCTATCTTTCATAGAATCGACAATTTGGAGCAGTTTCCTCTGGTAGAGGTCATCAGTACCACTGTTTCTTAATTTTTGTCACCTTTGAAGTCGGTCTCTTATAGCCGGTTTTTTTAAAAAAAGTGCTAGTAACATGAATATATTGTTCGAGACATGGATCTTTTTGAAACCCTAAACCTTTATTGCGATATTTGGTCACTTGACCTTTACAGCTCATTAGGTCTTCCTCGTTTGAAGTCACAAAATTGAGTATTCAAGAAAATGCTTATGGAACCCGTCATCAACACCGTTAAGATTGAATGTCCCTCTAGCGAGAGACACACTTTGATCACCAAATTACTCAGATGGCGCCCGAAGAACTTTTTAATGCTGCTTTCTCTTATCCACCCTACTTATTTTCTCTCTAGTTCGCAACAAATCCACAAAGATTTACAGCAAATCGCGTAGTCGACCACCCATTTCGCCAAGAGACTCGAAACAGAAGTAGTGATTTCACTTCGACCCAGCTTTTCACAACCCACAACCATCTGAACATACTATACAACATTCAATTTTTGATAGATATTGACAAATTTCGCCCTTAATTTTTTGGTTCAGCGTTGCTTAAGAATGATCAAGTGGCGTAACAGACTAAAGTTACCTTTAGTTTGAAAATTTAAGACACCAAGCAAAAATGGTTTCTATTTAATTATACCGTGAAGCTGGTATTCTACGTAATGAGCAATTAGTTTGTATTTATACTGTATACCATAGGGACCCTATTGTGAGTGGATATGAAACGCAAATTATAGCTACCCACTTACCGGAAAGTCAGGGTGACCGTGGCCAAAGGACAGCTAGGAAAATGGCCATCGACACAAATAAAGCATCAGTACTATTCGGCCTTAACTTTTCTCAGTTATACTTAACCTACAACCCGGTGCATCCCTCCCAATGAAACAGATTAGTTTAGACATTGAAGGACTACACTCTTTTTTTAAAAACCAGTAAATTTAAGTTCTGGCTGACTGTTCTTAACTTTTTCGAAAACCCAAGGCTGGATTGTTCTTAATTCGTTCTTAAATTAATCGGGTTTAAGCAGTGCGATTGCTAGCTTTTTCGCGATAGAGAGGTGTCCAGGCCTCATTGCCAACAAAACGAGTGAGACAAATTTCATATGCCTAATGTTTGAAAATTTAGCAAAAAGCACCCACACATGGCAAAAAATTTTCGTTATTGAGATGAAAAGTTGTTTAAAATCGCATTTTATCGTAACTCAGCCTCAGCTTGTACTTAATTTGTCCTCAACTTTAGACCAATTTTGAGGTTCGTGTTCTTATAAAATTGTTCTTATAAAAAGGAGTGTTGTAGAAACTGAAACTTTTATCCCTTTCAGCTAAGAAAATAGTCGTCTTACTGAGAGTTAGAAGAGATTTTGAGTCACAAATCCGCGAAACCACGCAAAAGAAGCACGAATCATAAACAAAAGAACATTGCTCACTTTGTAAGGGACAAAGTTGGCGCAAACAACCCTAACAACAAACATGGCAAAGAGCAACCATGAGAAAAACAGGCAATTTAAAATTTGATTGCAATGAAAATTTTTGCGAATTATTTCAAATATAAAATGAGAGAAGGAAAGGCAAAAAAGCCTTCAGCCCAAAAAACTGGAGTTCAATTGCGGGAGAGGACGGGAGAGCAACACACATACTTATTATTTAACAGTTAAAGCCGAAGTTAACACCAGATTATATAACCAGACATCATAGTACAGTTCTTCCTAGATCATTTGAACGCCTCGTACACACCGATCTGAATACAGTTCGGAAGATCCAAAATACCGGTTTGTCAGATATTTTGGGAACACCAATTTTATCCTTGCAGCGCAAACTTAATGACGCAAAGTTATACTTTTATGGTTTGTGAGGCGTACTAGCATAAAACCCCAATTTGTAGAGTAGAAATAGATGGAATTTGTAAGTGGATTGGATAAAGGCGCGAAACAATGAAAATTCGACGGTTCTTAGACATTGCTAGTGTTCTCGTGAGCGAAAATGCACAGAATGATGGCACGGGAACACACCTATGTCATAATATTTCGTCCTGATCAATGTGGTTAGCCATAAAACACCACTGTAGATTGGCTGATCAGCTGATATCAAAGTAAACTCGAGCTAAAAACACCCCGGATTATGTTGGGCTTTGTCAGGTCTCAGCACTTCTTAGAGGCTACAATAAATTTTGTTTTTGAGAAAACTAAAAATAACTAGACCCTACAACAAGCTTGATAACTTAGTCAATGCATGTAAACTCTTAAAGGCTTTGGTTGTATTCAACAAAAATGAACAAAGCTTTAACCTTTAAATAGGATTTCGATAGAAATCAGGTTGATGACTTAGCAAACAAATGTATATTGAAAATCAAATTTGTTGAGAAAAATCATAGAAATAACGTTACAAAAAAACACAACAAAAATGTGACTATGTTTCTACTCGTTATTATAAAAATCCTTGCACTGAAGCATGTTGCCTTTGTAGTCGGCGTTCCTTGCAGAGTTTTTAAAGAAATCAAAGCCTGACAGTTCTTTTTTCGTAGAAATGCACTGGAAGCATCGACTGCTCCATCCCCACGTTAGGAAAATTAGAATCATGGGTTCTTACCCAATATGGGTTCTTACCCAGGTTACTTAGATTTCACAGTTGAGGAGACAAGGAGACAATTGCTAAAAAAAGTGAAAGTTGTTGGCAACAACAAATAATTGCTTATTTAAAACTACTTTATCCCCGGTTCCTTAAAATAAAGCTTTGATAATTTACGAGGATTTATAGTGATTTTTAAAAAGATTCATGTGGAATATCATACATAGAAATTTTCGAAATTCTAAGGAGAAAGTGACAATAATTTCTTGAAAATAAAACTCAGTAGATTAGAGCAACGTCAGATTTGAATTTTCTCAAACAAAGCGACCACATTTGTGAAATGCAGACTGCATGCTACTTTATTGTAGCAGATAGGAGCAACGTAGAAAAAAATACGATGTAGCCTCAATAAGAAGGAATAGTGCCTGTGAATCGATATCAGGCATGTCCGTGCCATATAATGGCAGGGTGGAGCAGTGCCGTTATCGACGCAAACTCCAATACGACAGGTTGTAAACTTATTTAAAAATGTCCATTCAACCTTGAAATGCTCTCGAAATGACAGCCGTTCATAGATTAGGTTAACGACCATAAAGGTTAATGTTAGAAGTCATCGAAGTGAATCAGGAAGAACATGAAGAGACAGCCTTGATAACCATCAGTGCATCTAATAAAACGCCCGTGCCTTTAATTAGTTCATTATTACTCTAGAGGAATTTGCAACGAATAATTGAATCTCTAATTGATTTCCTCAATGGAATTTCTTAATGGATCCGGCTTGATTGTCGGAACAGTCCGACCACAGGCGGAACAAAGAGTAGATGGTACTGAGTATGATGCATGAATTTGGTTGAGATATACCAATGCATTCGGAATTCGATATGGGTAAATTTAATGTGCTGCAGAAATTATTTCATGACAGTCCAGTCTTGAACCCCTCTAAAATTCTTGCCCTGTCCTACTGGTGTTGCAGAAGTAGAGAGAATATTGAGATATCTTTAAAGGTATTGTAATGAAGCCCGCAACAATAATGAACTGGGTTTGTACATTTATACGCAAGTACACCCGTTGTTACCAAAAACTCTGGCAAAACATAACCCAAACCAGTTCCCTAATCATTAATGTAAAAAAGCAAATATCGAGATTTCCAGTCTCCAAATGAGTCCGAACTCAGTGAAACTGCCAAATCACCTTTACACGAGTGTTTATTTTGAAGTTAAAATTCGTCAGACAAAAAGAAATAGTAGTGAAAGCGAAGAATATTATCGAGGTTTAGCACATGGCGGTGAATGGACGAAAGGCATTCTTTAGAATACGGCAAGATGAAAGCTCTCTCATTGTCTTGCAGATGATTTGATAATTTTAGAGCCGATGTGTCACAAATGGCCCTTTTGAAATTGGAGGTACAATTATTAACCTTTGGGACATTGGCGATGCAATGGTCAATTATATGAGTAATTGGCGAAGTTTATACGTTTTTCAAGCAGTTTGTTTGTGTGTTCCGCCCCCGTTCCACAAACGAATCGCCGGCCCTTGCAAACCCTTTTCGTATAAAATCCCGTGTCAATTCGACTCATAAGCGTAGATGCAACAACTTTTCGCTGCGGAATTTTACAAACGAACGATAAACAACACGAGTGAATTTTAATATGTTCTCGGTTTAGTATTTGCAAACAGCAAGCAAATGTCCTCAATTTTAAAGTGGTTGAAATTAAAGCAACGGAACTGAATTTCTTTGATCATTTCCAAAGTCAATTGAAATTACCGCAAAATGACCCTTGCGATGTTTGAAATTTTCGTAAGTCTCAGAAAAGAGAGAAAAGCACATATAATTCACAAATTTCAGAGTGCATATTAAGAATGTTCCCAGTGGGAAATATTCCCTAAACAATTTATAAAGCCCTGAATTCTTATGGTGGATGAACAAACGAAATATATGGTCGAATTTTACGTTTATCAAAAGCAATATAAAAACTGTGAGAAGACATGGTGTCTTGGAAGAATTCTGCAACCGCTTGTTAATTCATTTCCGTTTGAATAAATATCGTGATAAATTATCTTGGCGAAGGAACCGAAATAGGGCTAAATTGAAAAAGGCTGGATTTCAATCGTGCTTTATCGTGGTAACATAAAGACACAAATCTGTGCTTTGACAAAAACTATCACCAAAAAGTCTCCAAATATCAGGATTTGAAGACAGTTCACAGAGATTATGCACCATCAACAAATATTCACTGGAAAAGTCGTTGAATAAATTGCCTAAAAAATGCAAAACTCACCTTGAATTCAATAATATATTGCCGAGGAAAATCGATACTAAAATATGGAAAATGACTTCGTATCGCCAAAAATAACTAATATTTGACCATATCTTCATAGCCATTGTCGACATAAAACCGGCGAAGGCTTCGCTTAACCAACCCAAGCTCCAATATATTTGAGTAAAGCCAGAATAGAGCGATGAAATTGAGTGACGATGGTCCTTCAAGTGCTCTCAAACTACAAACGCATTCCTTAAATATACTTGACCCTGGCTGATAACGATTGATCAATTGACTCCCTATCCCATTGCCGCAGTCACAAGCGCGTTTCCGATTGGCTGGTTCGACGTGTAGCAATCAATCACAGGGTGTCAGATAAAATCTCTTGCGCATAATGTACAGTCATGGACAAAAGCAGTCGAGATTTTCTAAATACATTTGTTCTGAAAGCTAAGTTGAAACATACTGCTTTTCATTCCATTTCGTCCCTGATTTAATAAAGCGAAGGGAGTATGGGAAGTGAAAAGGGGGCTGGAGAAGAATGGTGAGTTAAGAATCGACGGCCAAACCGAAGGGATGAAAATCATCGACGAAGGAACCAAAGAGGCACAGGGGCCACGTGCACCCCGCCATCCACTTTCCATTAACAGTTGTAAAATACCTCTTTGCAGCTAAAAGAGGTGCCCCTATCTCACTATATGTGCCCCCTTTTTGAAATGCTTCCCGCGTTTACGACGAACATAGAAAAAAAGATGAGAAGGGGTTGTAGAGAAATGAAGCAAAGTGGCAAGGGGGGCTGCATCTTTTACGAGTTTTCCAACATTCAGAGCTTCAAAATTGCTACGAACAGAGATTATGTATTCATGCCACCTTCCCCTCCAAGTGAAAAATGAGCGGAGTTATGAGGATCGTTCATGCAAGACAATGTCCACTTCATTCCTGTTATATTAAACATGCTTCGTCCTTTTGCAAAATTAATATAATTTTGTTTTTATTATCGTAATTAAAAACTTGGCTAAGATTTTATAATTGGCTAAAGGATGATTGCTCTTTGAAAAAATATAACACTGAGCGGGAAACCTAAAATTATTAAGGATTCATTAATAAAATGAACCTAATTGACTTGATCAACTGCTGCTCAACTTTTTAATGAATTTTTATTCATGATAATTCATTCAAAAGAATTATGTTATTTCTCCATCAAGAAATCAACGATGACATATTTTGTTTTGATAACTGCAGACTAATGAATTTCGCGACAAGCAAAAAGGTATGAAAATCCCCCTATCCGATTATTACAGTCAGCGATAACAAGTCCATCATCAGCTTGAAACTTTCTGCCGGATAACACTCAAAAGGACCCATACGAAGCTTTTTCTCAAAGCAGAGGACAAATATGAATCGATTGTTGACACAATCGTTGTCTCACGGCCATACATACACTTTGTCTAGCATTCATCCGTTTTCAAAACTTGAGTTTCTAAGCAAGATGTATGAAATTAGTAAACTTGAATATGGGTTGCAATAACCAACCGTTTTTGTTTTCTCTCAAAGATCAATCGAAATTGGTTTGTCTCTAGGCGGGTTCAACTTGCAAAAGAGTCAAACGGAAGATAATTATTAGAAATGTTCATCAAAATGGCCGAGTATGTGAAATGTTGTTCTTTTTCGGAGATAAATGCTATACGCTACATGCCTGCAATAATTCAACAACCGAGATCAAAGCTGTACACACAAAGCGCTGAGTTCGATTCAAATCAGCGAAGATGAACCAAAAATATGCAGAATATCCTGATAACTCGAACTCCCCACAACAAATGCCCCACGATAACTCAAACACCCGATATCTGGAACCCCTAATTAACCTAATTGCTCCTCTTGCCTTTCCTTTGACCCTTTCCCAAAACGCTTAAGCCCCCGATAACTCGTTGCTCCATTGGAGGTTCGAGATATCGGGATTAAAGCAAAATTCAGAAGTGCCCTTCAAACTTTATATCGTCATTAAATCTACAATAAAGGCACAAACAATATGAACAATTGTAATCAGACAAAACAGATGGTGATAAATCCTAATCTCAACTCAACAATGTACTTCAGTGGAGTATGGAGAAATTTTCAAAACGAGGCCGTATTTTGAAATTAAGTGTTGGGAAGAATCGGGAGAATAGGAGCAAAGTAAGGTTCGTTAAATCGCGATTAACTGTGATTTTGATGAGCCCCTTGTGTCGTAGTGGGCAGCCCCTGAGAAAGGTCTGTGTAGCAGGGCCCGCGCAACATGAAAACATGCTCCATTTTTTCACCAAGAGGGAACAAAGTCCAATAATAAAACCGCGTCAGCAACAGCGACTAGGGAAGATAAGAAGACAGTTTCTTCACATTCCCGACCTCCCTCCCCCCCCCCAATTTAGAATTGGTAGCTGGGGCCTGTCAAGAACCCTAGCTACAAAATCCTTCTGCTGACTAAGTAGCAAAATTTCTTTAAAAGCTTCCTGATATATAAAGCTATAAAAAATGTAGAATTGTAGAAATAATGAATAATAGCAAAAAAAACTATGCGAGAAAGATAACAACTAACAACCATGAAAGGGCAATAACAGGGAAAGCCAGGACAAACACCAAAAACGGAAGGTTAGTTGGTTAAGGGAAGAGTGGTTAAAAGCTTATTTTACACGCTGTAGGATAAGGCTACATATTAACTTACCAATCTTCTTAAGCAGCTTAAATGAGCAGAGATTACAAGACTAACTCCTATACAAGGGAAAGAGTGGGCTTTTACTCGATAAGAAAATAAAGCATCAAAGTGGAAATAACAATAAAACTGAGGTGTTGACCGTGATTTGCAAGTGTAAACATTATATTTACTTAAGAATTCTGATATATTTGAGAGACTGATATTAAAATGGTATTAAAAGGGTATTGAGGGTAGGTGAATACATGATAGTTTACTAATGAGTTGGTGACCTCCGATCTTAGAGGCCAATAGCATGCACAGTAATGGTTGAGTTCGATGCGCATGCTCTCTGCTTGCAAGGACAGAGAGCTCATTCAACGGAAGATTTTTGTCTCTCCAACATACTAAATTAATCGAGAATTCCTTCCCAAGTTTCTTGGCCAGTTGAAAGTTTCGTTTTCAAATACTAAAATAGAAGTCAACTCTCTACGCCCAAACAAAACCAAGAAAAGATAAAAGATACAGTGGAAATCTTTTAAAACCATGTAAAATATCGGCACTTTCTTTGCCATCTAAAAATAAGTCTAAATCTTTCGCAGCCTATGAAATTCAAACAAAAGTTATAAATAGCAAATTTACAGAGAGGGTCTGTTTTCTAATGTTTTTAAAATGACGCATGTGAGCTGTGATTAAGATTGTAATTAAAATCTTTCATCTTCGGAAAACGCCCTTCCTTGCAAAACATTTTAAGAATTCAAAGAGTCCTGGATCTTTTACGAGCCATCCCCTGCCCATCGCAATTCCAACTGGGGCAATGAGGAAAATACTAATAAGCGGGGCAGCCCCCTTCTTGGGTCAAAAAGCACTAGCTTTTTCGCCTCCTAAAATGTACGGATGTAATAGATTCGGACATAATTTGGACAAAGAGCAACTTTATTTGCAGAAAAGCTGCGAAACACGGTTGTCTTGTGCTGACTCCCCATCAAAACCAACACGTGAGTCTAGACAACCACACTTTAACCTTCACCCAGCTTTGAATATATTTACTCCTGATTTCAGGCTGAAATGCACCATACATACAAATAATTGATATAAAGATTAAATAAAATTTGATGAAGTTGGGAATTCGAAGATTGTTCGTAGTAAAGAGATTATGATTAATGGGAACAAGAAAGCATGCCTCAACGGCCTAGAGACCTAAAAATAGGATAAAATGATTATCTAATACAATTTAGGAAGCATGAATTGGAATTGTTGAGAGTTACAGTCTTCAGAGTTCTATTCATACTTCCGAATTATAAAGAAAGTAACGGCCTTAAGCACATGAAAACAAATGAGTTTCAATGCGTGCTGAAGCTGATAAAAATCGAATATACATTTGCTCAAACTATACTGTGGCAGGCCTACCGTGACCCAGGCAATATCAGCTAGAAGTATCAACAAGCCCCTTATGCAAAGATTGCTTAATATCAGCGATAAGCATGTTTGAGAACCGAACTGTAATATTTGACAGTGTCTTGGTTTAACAACAGTGAAGATGTTTCAATTGCTAGCACACAGTATTCGAGCCTACATTTAACGAGGCTCGTATTTAGTGTCTCTGTGGAAACGAGGCTACTATCAAAGGTTCCGTTTTCTCCCCTTTTAATAATCGACAGGGTTCTTGGTTCAAGAACAATTCAAACAGCACCGAAAGCCTCTCGTGATTCCTTATCAAAACAATTAAGGAGCAATCTGACGACAACCAATCCAACATATTTGTAGGAGTTTGAAAAAGTAAATTGAAACATTCCAGTGCTTACCCACACCATTTGAAATTCAATTCTTTAAATGTTAGCAACTTAAAGTCTTTATGGATGTACAGTAAACTACCAAAAACTCAAAATCCCAATGACTCAAACATTCGCTAAGTCGAACTAACATAAATTTTATTGTATTGGTTATTTTTTAGAACGCCCCAGTTAGATTTTTACAAAAAAATCCATATGCATATATATGCATCATACAATGTCAGGGAAAAATTTTCTTTTTCCTCTCAAAGGGGCTGTCCCATTCCACCAAAAGCAAAATACAAGGGGCATATCACAAAATTAAATCTTGTAAACCTTTAACATGAATCGTTTGTTTTCGAGAATAATCGCATCGTTCTAGAAACTCACGTATACTGTTTAGAACCATTGATACACCTCTCGATTAAAATACATAGATTTCTTCATGGTTAGATCACTATTTCAGGAACCGTGGAGAAGGGGTTTGGGAGCCTAAGCCCCCACCTTTTTGCCAAAAACGCAATGAAATAAGAAATGGACCAACCAATTTTCCGAGTCAAGCAACTTTGTATTTGGCTTTAGCTGCCGCATTTCTCTTAATGCTCCACAGTGGCTTTATTTAACAACCGAATTCTCTCTTTACTAAGTAGAACCGTTAGAAATAGCTTAGGGGTTAAGGGAAACTTCCTTTTCATAGAAATATTGAAAAATTGTTCAGCATATCTTGACTTTGGATGCTATTTAGATGTCACTATTGCTGTTTTAAAATAGTGAAATCTTTGTTATCATTAACGTCCCAATCAATCCCTGAGTAAAGGCGTGAAAAAGAGGTTTGCCACATG